GCGCCCGCTCGGGGCTTTGTTTGTTTACTCGCACCGGAGGCTCCAACTTGCCGGCTGCGCCCGCCCGCGCCCTCCTCCGCCCCGGCTCTGCGGCGGCGGCCGGGAGACAATGAGAAAGAAACCCGAGGAGAGGAAGCGCCGTCCGCCCCGAGATGCTGGGCCCGGCCGCCCCCGCCCTCCTCGCCCCTTCCCATCCTCCCGGCCCGGCGCGGAGGGCGCGCGGGGCGGGCGGCAGAGTTGCTGCGAGCGCGAACCGCCTCCGAGCGGGGCGACCCCGGGATCCCGCTGCAGCCTTCGGAGGCGACGGGGGGGCGCCAGGGGGTCGCGGGGCGGAACGAGCTGTGGCCGCCTCACCGCCTGGTTGTTGTCTCGCCCCCGGGACAGGGGCCTCAGGATGGCAGTCATCAGTCTGCACCGCCCGAGAAGGTCGGCTGGGTCCGGAAATTCTGCGGGAAAGGAATTTTCAGGGAGATTTGGAAAAACCGCTATGTGGTGCTGCGAGGGGACCAGCTGTACATCTCCGAGAAGGAGGTAGGCGCCCCTTGCCTCCCGCCAGCCCCGCTCTGACCGGGGCGCGTCCACAGCGGGTCTCCCTAAGTCCAGTTTGCCTCTGCCCCATCCCACTCCACGGAGGAAAGTCCCTCTCCAGTGAGAGGGCCTGAGCAAGACACAGAAGTTGAGTTTGCTTCTGATACCATGTTTTTTCTTTGCAAATACCTCTGTGACAATGATAGTCATCTCCCAACATGCCCCAGAAGTCCCGAGTATCCCCGCTGCCTCCTACCCTGTCCTGGCATCCTGAAATACAGGATTTTTGTCCTTTGTTGTTGCTGCTAAAACGGCTGTTCAGCTCTTCTCTCGCCCTCTCCTGTCTCCCCGCCGCACCCCGCCAGCCTCTCCTTTCCTGTCTGTGCGGGGCCTGTGCCGCTCCTGTCGGTGGCACAGCCGCTCTGATCAGAGAAAGCACAACCCGGGGTCAGTCTCGCGACCTTGGGTAGCGTATCTGTGAGTGCAGAACAGTTACCTTTGTGGAAGCCGGTGTCCCTAACCAGTGTGGTTTCTGTTCCACGCCGCTTAAAGAAAATAAATAGATAAGGTGCTCCTATTCTCACTTCTTCCTGCCCACCCATATTTATATCAGAGGAGAGAGAAATAAAATTAGAAGCCCTGATGTCTCTGCATAGGTTTGGCTCTGTAGTTAAACGTGAAAATCATAGGCCATATTGGGTCAGAATCTGAGCTCAGATTTTTGAGTTCAGGCTCTTGTCCCTTTGGTCCCTAACTCTTGTGATCAATAACAGGTAGTGAGTGAGAATTAGAATTCTTCTTGGGACTGTGCCGCAGTTGCCTGGTAGACCATCCTGTGATCCCCTAGGATGGCCTCCCCTCCATTTGTGTTTCCTCACCCAGGGCTAACTGGAAGTCCTGCCTGCGTGCTAACCACTTCTGCTTTCTGCAGTAGACACTGCTGTTCCGTAGATTATGTTTAGGTAAATAATTCCTTTTATGGTATTGAAGCAGACACGCCACCCAAGAGAGCGTACTCCTCTCAGAGCAGCATGGGCCGAGGTGATGCGGGAAGAACTAGGCTGTGTGAGGGCTCGAAATCCCCTTGCAGGCATCTCAACCTGGCCTGTGCCTCAGGAACTGCTGAGGGAGAGCCTCAGGAGTGAGGTGAGAGAAGACCTAAAGGTGGAGTTGTAAGGGTCGCCTCTGTTCAGTGACGAATCCTGCAGAAAGTTCTCACTACAGTTTTCTGGCTTTGTAGTTTAAAAAAGAAAAAAACAAGTGTCCCTTCTGCCTTCCTGAACTTCATAATGGCCGGAAACTCACGTGAGCAGGCAGGGAGACTTTCCTCCACGTCAAAGAGGAAAGCAGAGAGCAGTGAAAGGGTAGGAGAAACAGACTTTTTTCCTGTTTGTATTTATCCAGAGGACAGAGTTAGGGGGCCAGAAGAACTTGCTTGTGCTCCTGTGTGGAGGAAGCCATCCCGAGCCAGGGAGGGATAGCGTGACCTCAGCCTGGTGTCCTGTGAGTCAGGAGCATTTGACTTGTCCTGGGGCCCTGCCCCCCTGCCGGGAATGGCACAGGAAAAGAGGGAACAGCATGCTGAGTTCCTGTTCCTCGAAGCCAGTTTTTGTGCCACAACGAGCCTAACTTCCAGGTGACTCTGACAGAGGACCGCAGGCCTTATTCTGCCCACTGCCTGAAAGCTCCAATAGATTTAAGACTTTTTTAAAAGAATAGTATAATATTTGTAATTTACATGTTACTGCAAACAAAACATCCAGAGCCTCCCTGCAGTTTGCACCAGTCTTGTCATTGTTGTTACTTCCCCTTGGAATGGCAAGATCGCCTACAGTTACCTCCACCGTAGAGTTTCTTCCTTCTGTGTTTATTGTGAAAGAGTTTCCTTATGTCTAGGCCACAGGCCACCCTTTTTCAGAGAGGGCTGTGACACCTTCTCCCAAGAGCTGATGGATTGCACCAGAAGCTGGATGCCAGGAGACCTCGTGGTAGAGGAAGCTGGGTTGAGGGAAACTTACCAAACATGGGAAGAATCTCTGGGCCATGGATGAAGAAGCAAGAGAAGGAAGGGGAACTTGGGAGCTGAGTGGTTATAAATGAGACTTTGTGAGTTACATTGTGGGGACACATGCAGAGGAGAGCAGGACCCCCCGGGGGTCCATCTTTCCTGGGCAGTGAAGCTGTCCTCCCCCCATCTTCTACCCCTGCCCAATGGAGGGTTACTCTCGGTCAGTGTCCCCTTCCCAGAGCTCCTTATCAGCCCACATCCCAGCTGGAGCAACTCCCTTCCCTTCCCCATCCCTCAGGAAAATGGAACAAGTTACTCTCTTCCCCTGGCTACACACACACGCCCAGCACTTTCCTCTCCAAGGCTTCTGGCCTCTGCTGATAGCCTAACTCAGGGAGACAGCGGGGAGAGGAGAGATGATGCATCGTCCTGCATCCTGGCTGTGGGTTTCTGGGAATTGTTCCCCAGTGCTCCTTGACACACCTTGTGTCTGTGATCCTTCAGCGCTTCTGCTTGCTTCCCAGGCTAAAGCCCTGGAACCTGGAACCAAGCCTTCCCTGAACAAACGACAGAGGTAGACAGATGAGCTGTCAGTCCCCCTAAGGAAGCTGTAATCATCTGTCCTGCTGTCCTCAGCCTCTTGGCTCTGGCAGGAGTTTAGAAGGCTGGGCAGATACAAAACTTTAAATGGGCTGGGGAATGGAAGAGAGGGCTACTTCCCCACTTGAAAGTTGGCAAGACCCTGAAGGAAAGATGAGAGGGCACATGCATGCTGCCTGTGCCAGGGTTCCCTTGGGGAACAGTTCCAGAAAAGGAGGGCAGATGTCTTCCAAGGAAGACCTGAGGGTGCTTGTACATATTTGGTTAGTTTTAACCAGATAAGTGCTGACTTCTCTGTCTGGATGAGTCTTTATAGTAGTAAATACTGTTCTGGCATCAGAGGTGGGTCCACAGGGGCCAAGAAGTTACCATGTAAACAAAACAAGTGAGGCCAGAGGCGGCCTTTCATCCCTTCCAGACTGACCAGCTTTATCAGGATCATCGGGGACTACCAGGTCTTCCTTGGTGGGGGATAATTGGATTTCCCTACTCACCATGTGCTTTGAAGGGTGTGGGCAGGACTTGTAAGTTGTGTCCTTTGGGAGCAGAGCAGGGGCCATGGCAGAAAGAAGCTCTGGAGATGATGGGTCAGTTGAGAGCTGGGCACAGGGTTTAAACACACCCATCCAGGACTCTAGACTTAGAGGCCGCCCTAGTCCCACACCACCTTCTCCGTCCTCTGTAGGCCTTGGGCAGGATGGCCCTTTCCTGTTGTCCTTCCCTTCCCTCAGGTTGCTGCTCGTCCCAGAGACTATTTCAGACTGACATTCTGTCTTTTTGAGACAGGGTCTCACTATACAGTTCAGGCTCGCCTTGAGCTCACTTTGTAGCCCAAGCTGGCCTAGATCTCACAGTGATCCTCCTGCCTCAGCCTCCCAGGTGCTGGGATTACAGGCCACCACTCCCATTTTAGACTGCAGCTTTGTGGGGAGGAGCTAACTAATTTTATCCTCTTTACCTCACCCCTTAAACCTCCCCTAGGTAAAAGATGAGAAAAATATTCAGGAAGTATTTGACCTGAGTGACTATGAGAAGTGTGAAGAGCTCCGGAAATCCAAGAGCAGAAGCAAGAAAAATCATAGCAAGTTTACTCTCGCCCACTCCAAACAGCCGGGTAACACGGTAGGTTTCTCCTGCACCCCAGGCCACAGGAATACAGCAGCTGGAGCCAGGAGAAGCCTTCCCCATCCGGGTTCTTCCCTCAGCAGTCTTGACTCAGTGGCCCCAAATTGCTTGCTCTCCTGCGGGCTTCTGTTATTTAACCAGTGAATTGGGTAGTCATTTCCTTCCACACAAGCAGGTCAGGCTTTCACTCTGTCTCTTTCCTCCTTCCCAGTCTTTCTTTCTCTGTCTGTCTCTCTCTTTCTCCGTCTCTCTCTCAAGCACATACACCCCGTGTGCACAGTGTATCTCTTGGGAGGAAAGTCAGTAGTCCCTGTGCCCTGATAGATGATTGAAGTTCTGAGTCTGATTGCTTTTGTCTGAGGAAACCTGGGGAAGCCATTCCTGTCACCTCCTGTTTGCTCAAACACTTGAAGGTCTTTAATACTTGTCCTTTGTCAAACCTCCTCTAATTACCTCCAGTGCCATATTAATTTCCAATACCCTTCCTGGCTCTTCCTTGGTCATTTCTAAAACAACCTCTGAGCTATGGCATTTTGCAGAAATGGAGGCTGAGTTTTCAGTTGTAGATGACTTCAGAAGCAGAATCCGTCTCCTTCCAGGATCTTGGCCTAAAAGAACGAGATTATAATTTCTTCTTTCTTCACTATCAAGGTGAGGCACCAACTCTAAAACCCTGGCTGAAACGAGAATCTTCCCCTCACAGGCACCCAACCTGGTCTTCTTGGCAGTGAGTCCAGAAGAGAAGGAGTCATGGATCAACGCCCTCAACTCCGCCATCACCCGAGCCAAGAACCGCATCTTGGATGAGGTCAGAGGGCTTGTTGTGGGGAGGGGGCAGTGGGCAAAGGAAACAACTGCAGCTCAGCTAAGAGGGAGGACTTTTGTTGGGGGCCCATCATTTGTCCCACTCAGGGCCACTTCTACCCCCTTTTGAAAGGCCTCCTCTCCTTCCACGTTCAAGTCTTCTGCCATCTCCCCCTCCCCCACCTCCTGACCCACAAGCCAGCCCAGGGTCCTTCATGTCCCGGAAGTCCCTTCCTGTGGGCTCATACAGAAGCAGCTCGTGGAGTGGCCTTGTTTCCCTGTCCTGGCCTTGGGGGATGCCAAGTTTGGGCAGAGTCCTCGACAGCACCCATGATGTACCGCTGTATCTCTTCAGGTCACCGTCGAAGAGGACAGCTATCTCGCACACCCCACAAGAGACAGGGCAAAAATCCAGCACTCCCGCCGCCCCCCGACTCGGGGACACCTCATGGCTGTGGTATGTAGGACTACAAGAAGGTAAACACTGGCAGGGGCCAAGTCCACTTCCGTCCTGAGGAGCGGCCTTTGTGGGGGCTTCTGGAGACTGAAATCAGAGCCTGAGGAGGTCACCTATGCTCCACATCCCCATTTGATCAGGTTTCTCTAAATCAGAAGTACTTGTTCAGCACTCCCGTGAGCTCGCATATCACTGGGTTGATGCTTTTAGTGGGGAAAGTGATCTGTCCCAGGGACAGTAAGAGTTGAGTCTCTACAAGGCAGCGGAAGCCACTGTCCTGATGGGCGGCAGCACGGAGCACCGGACCTCCGAAGGAGGAGGATGGCAGTCGACTTCGATCCGTCTGAGCTCTCTAGGGAGAGAGGCCCTGAGGTGCAGCAGAAATAGGCTTTGGAGTTGGACAGAGTCTGAGCTGGGGCCTAGCTTCGAGGTTAACTGTGGTTCCTGAGGCTGCACAACTGGAAAATGAGAGAGTGCCCGTGCCTACCTTGAGCTGTTGCTGTGAGGCATGATTAAAGCAAATAACTACATACAAAGCCATGAGGCCCCTTTCCAAATTTGAGCTGTCAGGGGCTGTTGGTTTAGCTCAGCACCACAGCACCCTCCTGGCAAACATGAGGTCCTGAGTTCAAGTCCTGGTACCTCCCCCAAATAAGTAAATCAGTTAAAGCAGTGATGGCAAACCTTTTAGAGTTTTCAGTGGTAACAAACTGTGCCATACCTTCACCACCACTGAATCAGGCTATCCTGGAAGTAAGAGAATAGGTTTAGAATAGGGCAAGGAGTTCAGAGTTCCACAGGGCAAAGGGCGCTGAGGAAGCGGGTGGAGGGGGCAGCACCTGTGTTGTGTGGAGCCCCCAGAGTGTGCCAAGTCTGACGGGAGGCTTCATTCCCCACACAGAGGACATAGACACTCCTCAAGAAGCAGGTAGTGTGGGGAGGTGTTAAGAGAAATAAGCAGGAGGAATTAACTTTAAATTACAGGAAAATGGAAGGAAAGAAGGAGAGGAAAGCCGAGCGTGGTGGGCACGCGCCTATAATCCCAGCACTTGGGAGGCTGAGGCAGGAGGATCGCTGTGAGTTCAAGGTCAGCCTGAACTGCATAGTGAGACCATCTCAAAAAGACAAAAAAAAAAAAAAAATAGAAAAGGCAGACTGAGCAGGAGCATGGCCACACCGCACTTCAGGCCGCTGTCCCTGAAGTCGCTACTGGTGAGCTCACCCCTTCATTCTCACCCTGTCCCTCCCAGGCTTCCACCTCTACCTCAGATGGGATGCTGACCTTGGACCTGATCCAAGAGGAAGACCCTTCCCCTGAGGAGTCGACCTCCTGTGCCGAGAGCTTTCGGGTGGACCTAGACAAGTCTGTGGCCCAACTGGCAGGAAGCCGGCGGAGAGCGGACTCGGACCACATCCAGCCCTCCTCAGACCGGGCCAGCAGCCTTTCTCGGCCTTGGGAAAAACCAGACAAGGGGGCCACCTACACCCCCCAGGCCCCCAAGAAGTTGACATCCACAGAGAAAGGCCGATGTGCCTCCCTGGAGGAGATCCTGTCTCAGCGGGACACAGCCCCTGCCCGCGCCCTCTACCTGCAGACCCAGGGGTCTCCGGTCTTCACCCCGCCCCCGCCAGGGCAGCTGGCCCGCATCCAGGACCTGGTAGCGAGGAAGCTGGAGAAGACTCAGGAGCTGCTGGCAGAGGTTCAGGGACTGGGAGACGGCAAGCGAAAGGTCAAGGACCCCCCACGGTCTCCACCTGATTCTGAGTCAGAGCAGCTGCTGCTGGAGACGGAGCGGCTGCTGGGAGAGGCGTCATCGAACTGGAGCCAGGCAAAGCGGGTGCTGCAGGAAGTCAGGGAGCTGAGGGACCTGTACAGACAGATGGACCTACAGACCCCAGACTCCCGCCTCAGACAGACCACCCAGCACAGTCAGTACCGGAAGAGCTTGATGTGAAGGAAGGCACAGGGCCCGAACTTGTGGGGGGTGGACAGACTTATCTCCAAGTGTTGTTGCAGGATAAAACTTTTTTATTTACCTCAACCAAAAAAAACAAAACAAAACCAGAAAACACTTTTTGCTGTCTTGATCCTATACTCGTCTGCCCCTGTCTACTTTCCTTAATGAGCCCCCAGCCCAGTTTGAGAAGGTGACCCCTATAGCAGTAATAAGGAATTTGAGCTGGACCAAGAGCTGGGTCGTACAGACCTGGCCTGCTCGCTTCCCACACACTGCCCGCCCCCAGGCCTTGTGGCCAAGGGACAGAGATGTCCCAGGCGTCTGAGTTGAGAGGCGCTGGGGAAGAGCAGGTTTTCTCATATGTCCCATTCCACATTTTCAATCCGAGGGTGAAATTTCAGCTGCCCAACTCCAGTTCTAGGGATGTGGATACCAAGGCCACCTGTCCTTGCCATAGGAGAAGTGAAATTTACCCCAGCCCTGCAGAGGATGCGTGGGATGAAAATCTTCTAGGCCCTGCACTGGCCTCTCACCCATAGCGGTCTATTGAGATTGAGCTGTCCTGGGAAGGGACCAGAGCTCAGTGGTAGAGCAGTTGCCTAGAGTGGTGAGGACCTGGGTTCTATACCCATACTGCAAAAGAAAAGAAGGGTAGGAGGAATGGAGCTGCTGGATTTTGTTACTTGACATGTTTCCACCCCACATCTACCACACCCTTCCCAGCGTGGAGTCAGACACTACGTTGGCTGGATGGGACTGGCATGGTCATCTGACGGGTCTTGCATAGGGGAACCGGAAACTGCTGACCCATAGGAGAACTGAATTAAGAATGAGACTGATTTGTGATGCAAGCTGGGTAGGATGAAGGGGGAAAACCAGCCTGTGTCTGGGTTCCTCTTTCAGCCACACAAGGGTTTCCTGTAGTCTCTTCCCTCCCGCAAACCTCCCGCCTCCGACAGCCTGCTCTGGGAGGGCATCTACACCCCCTGCCGGCCTGCAGCTGCCAGGCTTCAGTGTGCTTGTGCATAGGAGGACACACAAGTCGGTTCATTTCACTTACTGCTTTTCTCTGAAGTTCTAGTCAGGTTTAATAACTGGTAAGTTCTGCGGAAGAGTCATGAAAGCAAGATGTAAATTATTTTTGGAAAGAAGGGACAGAAAGCCTCAGGAATCAAGTGAACAAGGGACTAGAAAATTTACTCAACCTCCTAACAACTTCCTGATCTCCTTCCCTCAATTTCTCTCCCCCTGGGGCCAAATCCTAGAACTTCAGTAGCTGTGAGTGGGGAGAGAGGAAATGGGAGCAAGTTGCAGTAGACCCTACCGTCAGGTGCCCTAGCGTTAGGAAGATGGGCCTACGAGGGAGAGGAAAACGCCAGGGGAGAAACGGAAACCCTTCAGTTCCGCTCTGCTCCGAGGCCACGCGAACACGGCGTGGACTGGGACCAAACCACTGGGGGAGAGGTTCTCACTCTCGCAGCCCCTCGCACTCCCTGTTGCGAAGGTGTGCCTGCATCTGGCCTGTAGTTACCTAGTCTTGTCCCCAGAACAGGTGTCCTACTTGAGTCGGGGTGAGCAGGGAGTGTCACCCTGCTGTCGTGCTCAGGGCCTGCCGAGGGGCCACAAGAGGGAACTCGGGCTCCAGGCTTCCTGGCCTCCGAGCGGAGCGGGCTTCACTCCAGAACTCAGCCTGGTCACCACTGCCACCCAGTGCCACAAATATGGAATGTCTGAGTTAAAATTATACTTTCTTGCTGTAAACCTCCCTCTTTGAATGAATTTTTGTTTTCCAGTACCAGGAATCGAACTCATGACCTTGCGCTTGCCAAGCAAGCACTGTGCCACTGAGCTAAATTCCCAGCCCCTGAATGAATTTTATTTTACCACCATTTTGCCTTTTCTCTCTTTTTCTTCCTGTCACTCCCACATAATGAAAAAGACAAAAGCAAGAGTGACATGTGTGTCCCAATATGCCCGTCATCCGTGGCTCCCAGGGGAGCCGTGCAGTGGCGGAAGACTTCGCAGGAGAGTGCAGCAGGTGACAGGAGGCCGACAGGGAAGTCCGGGACCGTGGGAGACGCTGGCCGCTGGCTCCAGTGGTCTTCCGGCACAAACGCCAACAGCATCGGTTCTCCGGTAACTGCCGGAACGTCCAGGCCACAAGGTGGTGAAATGAGTCCAGCTTCGAGCCCAAACGTTGATTTGAGTTCTGACTCTGCCACCTTTTGGTGACAAGGCCCTCGGTGAGATGCGAGCTTTCTGAGTGTCAGTTTCCTCCTTGTCTTTAAACATGAGTTGTTGAATGGGTGAAGGCAGCATGTGGAAAAGGCCTGTGGCTGCTGTGATCAGTAGCTTAGCTCAGCAGGCGAGGACGGGGAGCTCAGATGGCCAGAGCACCCTCTGAATGAGGGCAAGCGTACAGGGTTCACTGCTGTCACTGTTTGAGGCCATGAACTTGATCAGGCCGCAGGCTGTGCCCCACACCTCTTCCCAGGAGAGAGAGTGCTAGATGCCAGGCTACAGGCAGGAGCTGTGAGAAGGGAGCATAGTCAGTCCCTGGTCTTCGGGACAGAGCTTGGCACAAACCAGGTTTCCACTAGAAAGACCGTTTATGGCAGTGGGCGACAAGCGAGGTCAGGACGCTTCCTCCCGGCCCATGTCTATGGTGAGCAGCTGGACGGAGCAGTGCGGCCAGCTGCCCCGGCTACGTGGGGCAGCGTTCTCGCATCACAGCTGCCCGTGGACGTTGCTTCAGGACATTCCCATTCTTCCTCTTCCTCCTTCCCACTGACTTTGCCACATCATCTTCTTGCCCAAATGAACTGGAGAAGGGAAACTCCTTTGGGAGGTAAGACGGGGGCGTTGAGGACAGAGCGGAAATGGGGTGAGGGAAGACACATGCACAGAACAATGCTTATTTCACATTTCCAGGACATTCCCTGAGCTTTCCTCTTCCTCCCCATTACACTGTTAAGGAGGGCCTGGGGGAGTCGGGAAAGGTGCGGTGCTGCTCTCCCCGCACTGGGCAGAGCACTGGGCAGAGCGTCTGAGGTGTTGGCCAGGAAAGCTGAGGAGCTCATTCACATGCAGTCTCCACCGCGCAGCTGTAGGTTGTCCAGGGTGAAGAGAAAAGGGGATGCTCCAGCCCTCACAAACCGTGCCTAACCCTAGGAAAAGAGCCCTTCCCCACCCACTCTCCCAGCCCCTCTGCCGACAGGACATTTACCTCCTTCTCCCAGAAAACAGTTCCAAAGAGACTCCCCGATATAAACCTCATAGACCAGCAGACCCAGCCCTGTTCTGCAGCCCTGAGAGCTGTGCTGCAGCGCCTCCCCCTGCACCCTGCTTCCCTAAGCCTGGTGCATTTCTTTCTGCTTCCCTCCTGCCTCCCGGCCTCCCAGCCACAGCAGCCAATCCCCAGCCCGCTCTGGAGCCGCACCATATATGGAGAGGTTGGAAGGAAACCCGAGTAAACGCGGGAGCAGACACACGCACACGCACGCACACATACACCACCAGGGTTGAGTGCCTCTCTGCACGTGATCCTGTGTGTGTGTGTGTGTGTGTGTGTAACATGTGAGTCCTGCTGTCCTGTCCCTAGCTCACCCCACGCACAGAGAGAGGAACCTGTTTGCTATTCCCCACCTTTCCTCAGGCCCCGGGAGACCCTCGCTCCAGCCCGGCATTGCCTGTGACCTAGATTCCCCGCACTAATTACAAGCCTAATGGGGTTCTAACAAACACCCAACTTAGCACAGCTGAGACCCTCGAGGTCAATTAGTGCAGCCAGGCTCCACTGAGGAAATGAGAGTCAGAGCCAAAAAGTGAGCCCCGGCGTCAGCCCAGCCCCACTGCACCCCGGGGGTTGGCAGCAGGGATGGGGAGATGCAGAAATTAGCAGGGCCAGCCTACCAGTGGGATCGTGGAGACTTAGCAAATGTGGGCAGAAGTGTGTTCAGGCTGGGGAGCATCACAGGCTCCCCACCCCTACCTGATTAGCGGTGTAGAGGTTGATGCCACTACAGAAACGATGGGCATAAGGCAGGTTTCATAGGGACTTAAAATGAGGACCTGTGAAAAGCAAGCAGCGCTGAGCTCTGACCTCCAGGACGTGTGTCCTCATCTCTGACTCTTAATCCCTCCTCTTCCTGGAGTCCAGTGTTGGTGAGGTCATACCCATGTCCCTCCTGGTTTGGGATAGCTCAGAAGTCACCCCTTCCTTTTGGAAGTTTTGGGCTCAAGCTCATTCTCGCTTTCCCTTCCTCCAGGTACTAACACTGCCATAGCACACGGCCCCTTCCTGGAAGGATCCTTTCAGTAGGTGGCAAAACAAGGTGCGAAGTAGCTTCCTGGCCCGTCCTGGACATGCGGGACAGTGTCCGCACCTCCATTCTATGCCATGGCTCTGCGGAGGTGGGAGGGGAATGAGGGTGCTCTAAGTGCCAGTAGGGGTGACTCATGGCCACCGAGGAAATCAGACAGGAGCTCATCACCCTGCAGCACCCAGCAGCCCAGGCCACAGAGGCCGGCCCTCTGGCAGCATGCGCGTCCAGGCCTCTGCAGTAACCGGATGGCTCCCATAAGCGCATATCTAGATGTCTGTGTCTCCCAAGTGTATTTCTCCAGCCTAAGCCCCAACCCCAAAGATCAAGGCCCTCACAGCCAAGTGTCTGTTTGACATGTCTGCCTGAGATGTCTCTAACAGGCTCCTTCAGCTTACTACAACTGTGGCAGCTTATTAAATAATGGTTCTCAGCCAGCCTTCTCCACACTCCTCTTCAGTGTCACTTTAGGGTACCTTCTATCGGAGAGGCATTGTTTCTCCAACAGCTGCTTGACTCTGAGTCTATGTTGACCAGTGGAACCTGCCGCTGTGTAAATTCCAGAGCTTAGGGATCTTGTAGTTTCCACTTGGACTTATACCTCTTAAAATTCAGCTGCAAACAGGGGCTGGGGATTTAGCTCGGCAACAAAGCGCCTGCCTGGCAAGCGCAAGGTCGTGAGTTCAGTTCCCGGTACCGGAGAAAAACCAAAAAAAAAAAAAAAAAAAAAAAAAAAAAAATCAGCTGCAAACGAGAAGCCCGGACTAGCATCCTTGATGTGAGACAATGTAG